CACACACACACACAATGTGCATTCTCATTCAAAGCCAGCAGGTGTAACAATGCACACAAACACAAAAGAAAATTATGCATTCTATATTTTCTTGTTCTCAGTACTATTAATGTTTCTATGGAAAACTCTTTCGTCATTGTTTCAGAATTTAATCTACATAAAATGTTACAATTCGATACAGTAGCTACTGGACAACTGGATAATTTGCAAGAACCAATATGCACTCTGACCGACACCCACCCCTCCCCCCCAAAAAAAGTTAAAAAAAACCCTTGACTATTGCACATAATGTACTACCACCATACCCACCCCTACCCACCACCCCCCTGAGCTCCAAGAATTGTATGCACGCATCACTTTTACACTCATGTGCATCCATCACTTTTACTTTTATCAGCATTAAGATTTTATTCCACTTGCAATATTCACCTCTTTCTTATGTAAAGATCTCTATTTTTGCACTACTGAGTACCCCTCCATACCTATTATTTTTGGGTCGATGTCCCACATTCATCCGTACCTGTGTCCTTGTTGTATTATACATTTAGTGTCTTATATTTTTTTGATTATTTACAATGTAATTGGATTGTGCCATTTTAGCTGATTACTTGTTTATTGCTGTAACTGGGAAGGTGAGTAATGCAATTTCAATTCTCTATGTTTTGCACATATGAAGCATTGCCAATAAAACTAAAACTAAGACTTGAACTTGAACAATTATTATATACATTATATAAATCTCACACTCACTCCTATCATAAAACTAAGATGGCCAGGAAAATAAAGGGGAAAACCACACAAAAGCATTGATGTTTCTTGTCTGTATTGCCTTTTATTTGTTTTAAGTTTGATGACACTCAACAGCATAAATATTCATTCACTATTTTACCTGCAAACAATTTAAATTTGGAAGCTACTCATTGTGAACAGAGGATCACATCCTACATTGTTTTTCACTAAAATCAGAACCTTGCAGCTTTGAAAACCAACAACAGGGACAGAACAACAATAAGTTGGGTACAGTGAATGATTAAAGATGTTGATTAAATCCAAGGCTGCAATGTGAGAATCACAGACACCAGAGACGAGAAGATGATGATGCCAGGAGAGATGAAGATGAGGTTCGCCACATCGTAAAGCTCAGACAAACACAGAGCCTGCTTCAACTGCTGGTGAGTCTCAGCACTGATGCCTGGAAACATACGATTTTAGTTCAGAGACATTTAGGTGACATGAAGTTCAACTCAGATCTCACCATGTTGGGACCACTCCCTCCATACATGCAGATATTCAGGGTCTTGTTCCTCTTCAGAAGCTTTGTTCAGTGGAAAAAAAAAACATTTTAAATGAAAGTTTCTTATCATGACAATTTGTGACGCCTGTGCTCTCACCTTTGGAGTGCTCTATCAGGAGTTTCAGCTCTCTAAGAGCCCGAGTCAGGTTCTCCAGTCGGTGCTGCAGTTGGAAGTTCTCCTCCTTTAGAGTGTGGATGGTGTCCTGCAGCTCGTATGACGATCCACAATGTGAGCGCAGGAGAATCCACCAAAACACAGCAGTAGCTTGAAAAATAGACATTGTTGGCAACTAAGTTTCAGTCAAACCTCTGCTGCTGGCTGAATTTCTGTTGAATCCTCCAGTTTCACAGGCTTAATGTAGCCTAGAAGCATTGGTTCTGTGTCAGAACAGATTTACTAATGGGTGAGTAAATGATCCTGCACCCCTACAACCCACTCTACAAGATCAATTGTTCTGGATTGGCTTTTAGGGCACAAATTAACACAAAATGTTCTGTGAGTGGGCTTGAATAAACTCACACACATATATAAAATAAAAATAAAAACTTAGGTCATAACAATCTATAGGGTTTGTTTACGAATTGAAAGTTTGTTTAGTAAAAAAAATCCAAAGCTAAAACCTCAAATTAGATGAAAAATTACCTAAACTATTAATTGTTTAATATAATTTCCTTTTTTGGGGGAGGATTATGAGTTGTTAGAGCATGGGTTCATAAAGTTGGATGCATGATCCCATATGTGAAATAAGTAGTAGGGTGGTCTTGAGAAGATCTACAAAAATCCTGTTTTTGATACTATTATTTTGTACATCAAATGCTAAAAATACTCGTTAATCATGGTTCTAGAAGGTTAATCATTACTAAGATTTTTAATTGGAAATATATATATA